TTGAACCTGATATTTGCCGATACATTCCAAAACGTGATTCAAGAGCATCAGTTTGAAATTTTCCTAATAATATGTATTATTCAGCCTCATACTTTTGAAACAAATATGGAATCAATTGAATGAATGCATCTGTAGTTATTATCAATGCCTGAAATGTTTGTGGTGATAAAGTTTCTTTTATTGGAACAGACTGTTTCCATATCTTAAGCCACAATACTAGTTTCTTTAAGAAATTAATCTGCTCAACATTCTGAGAGTTAATAGCACCACGAAATTTATCATTAAAGCGCTTACTTTCAAAATTGCTTTTACAGTTTACAATTTTCCACCATGTTGTGAATACTGAAATAAAATCACAAGTTTCATCTGAGTTCACAAAAACATCTGCATGATCCTTTGATATACATTTTAATGCTGCTATGTTTTTTTCATTTAAGACTTGAAGTGCTAGTTTCACGTTTTGTTTCTGAATTGTTGAAGGATAAAGAGCTTAGCTTTATTTGTAAGTAAATGGCCATATTTAATAATGGAAGATTTCTCTATATCATACATGATTTCCAAATGCTTAAAGTTAGCTTTCTTTAAAATATCATTATTTTCTAGATCAGGAAATGTAATTAATTTTTTTTGTTGCACCAATTATTGCGTACTGATTTTAACATATGAACTGTGTCAAAAAGAAAGAAGAGAAGCCTTGAATCATCTAAAGGGTGCTTAATATATGGCTGCAAAGTTTTATTAGGGGTCATTAGTTCAAATGCGCGTTTATTCACAGCATTATTATCAGAAATCAAACAAACAACTTTAAATCCTATATTTTCTAATGCTATTAAAATCTGCTGAATCATATCTTGTAGCTCATTAACTTGCAATCCATTAACTGGAACAATACTAACTACATCCTTATATGAAGAGAAAACTGATGTTATCATGAAAACCTGAGCTGTTTTGGCAGCAAGTGCTGGTTTATCATGAGAACCTCCATAAATAGAACCACCTTTAAAGTTGAACATAGGCTGAATGTAAATTTCATCTAATAAAACATTTACTACTACAAGTTCTTGTTCATTAAGAAAACATTTTTTTCCTCTCTAAATAATTAATGCTGCCAGCCAAACTTAATTTTGACAATGAATAACTACTCATAATATTGCGTAAGACTCGAGTACTTGGAATGCACAAATAGTCGCAGTTTAGTAAAGCATTGTATGCCGAAGAAGATTGCACAAATAATGTTGAAGCTAAAATTAAAGTTCTATTACTGTAACGCCTATTATTTTTTGATACTCTTAACAATTGTAATTGCTCTATTATAAAAGAAATATGTTCAGAATTATCTAAATTACAATCAACAGAATTTAGTAATGTAATTGCTGATTCTAACACTGATGGAAATGTTGTATTAGTAACAGAAGTTTCAACATTGTTCATTAAATCATGTAATACTGAAATTGTACGAGGGCCATCCAGGAAGTAGATTACGTTTCCGTCTGTGTCCGCTAGGGGCGGGGCTAGCGCGGCCATCTTGAGTCAGAGCGTTGCGCAGCTCAGTCTGCATCTAGCCGTGCTAGTGAGAGGTTCGTGCTGTGCTCCGTTCAGATACTGTGACGGTTTGAAATGTCTGCGTTAATTGAAAATCCCGCGAGCTGCGAGGTGCGCTCAGTAATAAGGTTTCTGACTGCAAAAAACTGTAAACCGATAGAAATCTATCGGCAGCTTCGTGAAGTGTATGGGGACAACATTATCACTGAAGGTGGAGTGCGTCAGTGGGTCATAAGATTTCAAAATGGCCGAACCAATGTTCACGACGAAGATCGAAGTGGGGAGACCCAGCATAGTGACCGCCGAACTTCTCGAAAAAGTCGATGCTAAAGTCCGTGAAAATCGAAATTTCACAATAACGGAACTTTCTTTGAGTTTTCCACAAATTTCGCGAAGTTTGTTGCACGAAATCATCAGCGAAAAGCTTGGTTACCACAAGTTTTGTGCAAGATGGATTCCAAAAATCTTGACAGAGGACCACAAAAATCAGCGAATGGCTGCAGCGTTGAACTTTTTGGACGCTTACCATAAGGATGGTGACTCTTTACTCGATCGCATCGTTACTGGTGACGAAACATGGGTGAAAACATGTGAACTGTGAAACGAAATTGCAATCAATGCAGTGGGGGCACACAAGTTCTCCCCAAAAACCCAAGAAATGCATGCAAACAATGTCGGCAAGGAAGATGATGGCGACTGTTTTTTGGGACAGAAAAGGTGTAATTTTGGTGGACTTCCTGGAAAGAGGCACTACAATAAACTCTCAAAGGTATTGCCAAACTCTCCAAAAACTCAGAAGAGCAATTCAAAACAAGCGCAGAGGAATGTTGAGCTCTAAGATCTTGTTGATTCACGACAACGCCCGGCCCCACACGGCAAATGTCACTCGTAAAGTTCTTGAATCTTTTAAGTGGGAGTTGTTTCCTCATCCGCCGTACAGTCCCGACCTGGCACCGAGCGACTTCCACCTATTCCCCAGCAATGAAGAAGTGGCTGGCTATGCAGCGTTTTGATGACGACGCACAGCTGCAAGAAGAGGTAACGAAGTGGTTGAAGGCGCAGGCGCGGCCGAATTTTTCGACGAAGGAATTTCCAAGCTCGTACATCGCTACGATAAATGCCTTAATTTGTATGGTGACTATGTAGAAAAGTAGTATTTGAGTGTGGCTTTCATCTGTATATAATAAAATTTGTTTCCTATACTTTGTTTATTTTTTTATTCCAAAACGTAATCTACTTTCTGGATAGCCCTCGTATCAACAACGGGTGATTTTGAAAATTTCTTCTTACTTTCTTTCCGATTTTCAATGTATACTTCAAAATTCATGTCAGTACTTATAATGATGCATCCCAAAATTTTTGGACAATTTTCATGAGCTGCATATAAACATAAGCGAATTATATCATCATCATCGTCATCTAAGTAAAACCATTTATTTTTATATTTACATATGTTTTCCCGAAAGTAATTGACCACATCTTGAGGACATTTTAATGCATTTTTTCTAAATCAGCTTTCTGCTGAAGTAAACTTTCCTGAACGGCTTTCTTATAATTTACTTCTTCTACATCAACAAGTCTGCGAGGTTTGGATTTATTTGTACTTAAATATGAGGGAGCATTTTCAAATATACATGGCACAGCGCCTTGAATGAGACCAGGGATTTTTCTGTCATATTCTTTATATTCATTTTTTATAGATTACACAGTCCTTTCTTATTATCTGTGATTCATCAAAATGCTTTATACAAATTACGGGGTTTTTTAATTTGCTTAAATCTCTCGGAATTTTCCTTAACCACTGAGCTCTTCTTTTAGGTGATTTAGGTAAAGAGTAAGTAGTGACATTCTCATTTTTGTCGTAATTGGATTTGCAGCCAAATACACTGCAATGTCGAGGCATTCTGTATTCCAATATGTTATTAGAAACAAATAATCAAAAATAATAAAGAATTCCTGATTTCCAAACAAATAGTCAAACCAATACTACTCAAAATGTTCAAACTAAAGTAAATGCATTCGCTGTTAAAACGAAACACTTGCATAGGCTTGAAAACAGCTACATATTTTCCCAAATAAATCTAAAAAAAAATATATAAAACGAAATATAGATAAAACTATTATTTATAATTACATAAAGCTCACGTTATTTAAAATCACTTAGAATACCAAAATAATCTACTTACATAACACTATTGGCAAAATATATATCCACAAAATTCACGACCACAGTTTCGTAGCCACACGCTACCATAAGAACCAAGGGGGTTAGAATAGACCTCTGACCTCCTTGGTCAGAACAAATCGACCATCTTGATCACGTGACTTTTGCGCTTCAAGGCCATTATAGAGTTGGCTGTGGCGTGGATCGACGCATCCCCCGACAAGCCGTGCCGGTCCCGCAAGTCACTTGTACCGCGATTCTGCAGCATGTGCAAGATACCTTGAATGTTCCCGCGTCGACCAGAACATTTCCCGTCGATTGGTTGAACGTTGCCTGCACTCACGGCGTCCGTTAAAAAGACTGCCATTGACCTCACAGCATAGACGCCAACGTTTAGATTGGTGCCGGACTGGAGCGATGTGGATGACAGAATGACGAAACGTCGTGTTCTCAGATGAGTCACGCTTCTGTTTATCCAGTGACACTCGCCGTATACGTGTGTGGTGTCGACGTGGACACAGATCTAGTCCGGTAGTAACTGTGGAAAGCCCCACCGCGCGACAACGTGGCATAATGGTTTGGGGCACTATTGCCTACGATTCCAGGTCACTTCTAGTTCGTATTCAGGGCACTATGATTGCCCAACGATACTTGGATAATGTACAGCGGCCCGGTGGCAATCCCCTACCCTCAGCGACTGCCTAGTGCAATTTTTCAGCAGGATAACGCCCGACCACACAGTGCTCGCATCTGCCAACATGCTCTGCAAGGTATACAGATGCTTCTCTGGCCATCGTACTCTCCTGACCTGTCACCAATCGAACATGTGTGGGATGTGATTGGACGCCGTTTGCAGACTCTGTCCCTGCCTCGTTCAGAAGACGAACTGTGGCAAATGGTTGAAAGGGAATGGAGAGCCTTTCCTCAGGACACCATCCGCACTCTTATTGACTCTATACATAGACGTGTTTCTTCGTGCATCGCTGTCCGCGGTGGTCCTACAGCCTACTGAGCCGACGCCGTTCTCGCTCTGTATTCTGACTATCATTTTGAAATAAAGATCACTTATTGCTGCTTGCTGTCTCTGTCTTTTTCCAAATTTCATCACTTTCTAACAACTCCTTCTTGGTGTTGCATTTTCAGTATCGAGCAGTGTATTTCTGCTCATAACAAAACATGATTTGACCTTTAAAGCAGCTGGTAAAAATTAAATATAAATATTTCAATTTCGGCATATTTTAAATTTTTTTATTCATTGTTATTATTTAGTTATAGGACATAAAAATGAACTTACGTTGACTGTTTTCAACATGACCTTGAAATTGCCCTGACACTGGAATGATAGAAAAGGCACTTTCTTCAGATGAACTGTAAGCATTAAATTACATACAATGTATATATACAAACACACATATATATTAATTAGAGTATGCTTACACATTTGTAGAACAATTTCAGGACCGTTTAATTAATGTTTAAAACGTAAAGAGTACTTTTTAAAGTGTTCGATCCGATAGCCCTTTTTTCTGGACTATAAATCTGTATCGTGATTTTCATGATAGAAGAGATTTTCGCAAAATTTCTAGGGATATTAATTTCCATATAGCGCCCACTACTTTCCAGAGTCCATTCGTCATGGTGGGTTTGCGCTCAGAAGCTCTTTTCAAGAGACCAAACGCACAACAGTCTATGGGTGAAACGTCAGGAGACTTTGCAGGAATACAAGATATATATGCGGTACCTCAGTCTTCCTTTTTTTCTAAGAATGTAGCAGTATCATCCGAAGTTGTGTCCTTGTTGCTTTCTTTTGATGAGTTTTCTCTCTTTGAAAGTCATTTGGAAAAAAGAAACGGAATTTATCCTACAAATATCGGACCTAAAACCTTCTCTTGCTGGTACGTTTGGTCTGAATTGTTCTCTTGATAGTTTTTCGAGATAGTACGTACGTACAGTTGATTTTAATATTTTTTTCCACTTTTCTTATTTTTAATTTCCCACTGTAAGGCTGCTATCGCACATCCGTTTGTTTCGGAAGAACAACTGTTTGAAACACCTTTTTCTCCTTTGTCACAACAGCCAATTCCCATAGATCATCTTAGGGTTAATACAGGGAAAGCTGTTTCTCCGTTACAAACAAGCTAATAGCATTCGCAGCCGATAGCTGATTGGTTGAAAACGAACAACTTGCAATTTTTTTCGAAAGGAAGCAAAAAATCGCGCGTCTTTCTTTCAATAGTAAACTAGGCAGAAAAATTGTCCGAAACAGTTGTTCGTGTGAAACAAATGCGTGTGTGATATGGGCCTAAGAGATCCTGCGAGAATCATAAATCTGTTACCGAAACTTTCTTTGCATTGATGAAACCAGAATTGTTCGTTTTTTCATTTCGTTTTCTATTATACATAGACCTTTTTTGTTGCAGTCATTTACGTAAACCCAAGCTCCATCAAGGGTAAAATGTATTTCTATTTTTCTCCTACTAAATAGTTTTCGTACAGGGTTTAATAAATTGTTCTGCGTTGAATAACATGCCTTGGCAAAAGTTGATGAACACTTGGTTTATTATTTTATTTAATGTTACTAGAGATGTATTTAAAACTTTGAACTTGGTTTCTGCATCGGCGGATTCTTCTCTTATTATTAACCATTTAATTTAACATTAGAAACAGTACGTACCTTTTTCAGGCATTTGTTTGGAGTCTTCGTTTCATGTAGAAGGAATCGTTACGGTTTTTCCCTTTCCGAATAATAATGTTGCTTATTTTACACTTAGAAATTTTAATTAACATACACTCTACTACCTTTTTAAATTACAGAACAAGAATATATCTCTTCGGAAGCACAAAAACTTGTCCTTCAATAAACAGCTTGTTTACATGCGACATTTTGAAAGAAGCATAAATTTAAAAGTAGCAAACGATTTCGTATTTCAAATAATAAGTTGTTGCCAGAAATTGTTATTCCAAAACACTTGCTTTCTTTCAACTCTTTATGGAAATTGTTCAAAAAATGTGTAAACACCCTCTGTACTTTTATAGATTTATTAATGACAGATTATTAAAGTATAAATATTTTTCATTTCAATGCGAATAATATTAAGAGTTGGCTACATGGCCAGTACTGAAGCCTACCGCTATTTTCTGAAACAAGAATTCTATAAGAGTTTTGACTTTGGATCTGCTTTTTTTTTGGGGGGGGGATGATAGGGAATTTATATTGATCAATATTTTTCACAATCTGCATAGGAATCGCTTAACACCAGAAATCCTTTTCTAAACTATATTTTATTCGCAGTTACGCACAAATACAAACATTTCGCTATTCAATTTGTGTACGGCTCCTAAATATGATTCTCGATTTTAATACGAAATATCTCTGTCAGTTTTGCAGTACGAGGGTCAAGAGGAACGTGTAGAAAGTTAGATTTCGTAATTTATATAAATTAATTTCTTTAAATTTAAAAATGCCACAACATTCACATTTTCGTGATTTAGGACATTTGTATAATTAGAAGTTTAAGTCTATGATCAAAGATTGCGAAAATAAAGGCCATATAAGGACTTTTAAGGGCATAGTGTATATAAGGTTAGAGTGAAATACTTTTAAGTTTTCGAATGGCAACACACATTTTTTCCTTCGCAGATTGACAAGCGCATTAAAAAATCATAAATGGCGTGAGAACAATACACGTAATGGCGAAAATTGCTGGCGTAAAACATTTGCAAAAAAGAAGAGCATTGTAAAATACCCATGACAATACAACAGAGGAGAGGGGGGAAAAAACTTTTATTGGAAATACTAGTTTTCAACGTTGCCACCTTCGCAGACGATAACGCACTGCGCGTGAGAGATTCTTGACAATAATGTCGGAGTTAATATCGCATGAGGAATCTGCATAACTTCGCCATTTATGGCATCTCTGAATGCTGATAAACTTTGTAGATTTAATTTATACACCTTAGATTTCAGATAACCCAGGACCAAAAAACTACACTGCTTTCTCACTTCTTTCCTTGATAAATGGTATGCAACAGATGGCTCTGCAACTCTACAATGCTGACAGTCCATGAGATCAATGTAGTATTATGCACTAACGTTGATTACTGTATCTAGAATTTGAACACCTAGCAGGGGTGCCTCCTTTGACCGTAAACTCGTACAAAAAAATTCTTCGCACACCTAACCCTCGAATATGTTTTTACTCTTCTGCAAACATAGTTACCAAGGTCCGGTGCATAACAATTTCGCTGAATCTAATCATCCATGGTGACTCGCAGGTAATCGCTGAAGTACCAAGAGAATAAAATAGTAAGTTGTAGGTTTTGCAAGCGCTCTTTAATGGTTGGATTGCATTTAATATAAAACTATGTTGAAGCATATAATTTCAAGTTAAAAGAGGCCATCTTATTCAAGGTGGCAGATGAATAAGTGCTGCTTAAGTAAACTTGAAAGATTTTGTTGGTTATAATAAGCCATCCTGCATTAAAAAGTTCCCCAATACTTCGTTCTTCTAGATTCGTTGGTCCTTTACTTGAAATAAATCGGCTTATATCCCACATATATTTTCGGTACGTGCCGAGATTTAAAACACCATTCTCTTCTACAACTGACAAATTTTCCTCAGTTGGGTGAAAATCTGTGAGCAACTCTCAACTCTTATCTATAGGTTAGTAAAATGCATAAGGATCCTCTGTCGGTCCGTCCAGATGATTCACCACGTGTGTTAATGGTAGTTCGTGAAACTGGCTACCAACTGCAAATATGTATCTTCAGATTTTCAGAACTCTTTATCTAGTACACAAAGCACATCTCTTGAATTGCCTGTATTCACTGCGATTCTGTTGCATCTAACAGCTATAAGTTGGAATACATCTAAGTTTTCGGCATCCAGAAAAATCAACATAGATTCTTTAAAACTTCCTTGTTTGTGCAGAATTACCCTTCTGTAGCCCAATCCAATTATAATTATAATACTTTAACACATTTTCTTCCGTGGGCAGAATATTACAATCAAAGTCTCTTGGATTAATGCGATATTTCATTGTCTCTAGCTGGAGACATATTTCGCTGATACAACTGTCGTGCGTTGTGCAGGGAATCGGATATTTAACTGAATTATTTAGCAACGCGATAGGGGCTGACGCCGTGTTCTCACAGAAGAAGAAATCGATTGACGCAGTCGCTTACTTTTGCATATATTTTTATATTATTATAGAATTTTATTTTTTTAATAATAAAACTGAAGCCTATTTGCGAGCACCGAGCATATATAAGGTCGGGTCGCTTATATATATGTATGTGAAGTTTTAAAAAATAAACATTAAACATAGCAAAGAGACGAATCTGCGATTGTGCTGCTGGATTGAAAATTATTAAAATCAAAAAGTAAATATCGGAACGAAATTGAATAAAATTTTGTTCCTTTTATATGAAGGTCTAACCTTTCTTCCCCAGCTAAAAATTTACCAAATTGAGTAAACATAAATTAATGACCTCTCAAAAACGTAATCTTAAACTAAAAATTAATATGCGAAAAGAGAAACTTAAAAAAAAAAAAAATATAGAACATTATATATAACAAAACAAAATAACATTTTTATTAATCTCCGTTTAAACAGAACTTGTCAAGGGAAAAGTGTTTCGAAGCCTTAAACCAAGATGATTAATTAATTCTGACTACATGTTTCATTCCTCTGAATCATTTGAGACCCAAAACCGCTTTTTTGTACCAAACCTTCACTTTAAAACAACATTCTAATTGTCCTCAAATGTTCAGATCTTTTCCCTACAAGCATTCGTACTCAAATAAGACCAAACATTATTTACAAAAGCTAAATAATAGTAAAAAACTTGTAAAAAGAACCTAAAAAAAGCAAAACAAACTAATTACATAAACTAAATTAAATCAAGAATAAAAATTCTACATGAAGAATTAATAAATCAATTTTTTTTCCCTTCAAAATTGAAAAATAAATTGTTCGGACGAATTATGTAAAGCCTAAAACAAGAGCGGATCAATTACTCGAAAACTAACTTTTTGTGAATTATAAATTTGTGCCAAAAGATACGCATTAAATTACGCTGATGAAGCGAGCTCAGTAAATTGAAAAAAAAAAAAAAAAAAAAAAAAAAAAAAAAAATTACGTCAGATTACGTTTTTGAAAGTTTCATTAATTTAAGTTTACTCAATTTGGTAATTTTTTACCCGGAAAAGGAAGGTTAAACCTTTAATATAGAAGGAACAAATTTTATTTAATTTCTTCCGACATTTACTTTTTGATTTATATATATATATATATATAAGTACCGTTATAGATAGCTTATGCTTCACATACTGCATTATTGTCTATAGCGTTAATATGAAAAATAACTTACCAATATATTATGGAAATTTAATGTAAAATTTGCAAATTTCAAGGCTCTTACTGGAAATGTACAAAAATTTTGAAAAAAATTCACAAATGGTATATTAGTTAATACACAACTTTTGAGGTGCAGTACGTTACAATTATACAATTTAAACATTTTTTTGCTTCAATCTAATGTGCATATAAATGCAGAATAAAGTAGGTTTAAAAAGATCTTATTTCTAAAATAATTATTTACCTGTCTTCTGGAATAAATTCTTCAGAATTTTCAGGTTCTTTGCCTGGGATTAAACTTCCTGAATTTCTTAGGACTCTCACCTCCATATAATTTTCATCTGTATCTGTCTTTCAAATTCATGAAGAAAAACATTTACTTTTTAAGATAAAGTTAGCATTGTTTGATACTTACTAATAATTACTTTGATAATTAGAGTGAAATATTTCCAATATACCGTATAAAACAAATACTATATGTCCAAACAACTGAATATAATTTCAGACAACTGAGAATAATTTCAGAATTTATTTTAATAGCAAACAAACATACAGTATCCACCGTTTATTAGGATGACTTCCGTTCTGAAAATATTTGAATTTATTAACCGTCTTAGTTTAATAGGCGGAGATTTAAGTAATGTAAATTGTCATATTAGTTTTAAATTATCTACAAGTAAGATAGTAACTAACAATTTATAAGTAATACCTAAATAATAAATTAAAAGTTAATGCTAAAATTAAACTATTTTTTGTAATTAGGTATCTGATGGAATTTTATTTGTTACACATTGTTCGTCAACAGTTTGACAATTGTACTTTCAAGTTCGTAAAATTGCCATTTTTCAATTCAAGAGTATTTAAAGATTTCGCGGTGTTTTTTCTAGATTTGATTGAAGCTGGTATGTAGCCCAATTCTCCTGTATCACCTTCATTGTCAGTTTCCCATTCTGCAACTGTTTTAACATTTTCTATAATACAATAGTTAAGCTTTTTTTTCACACGCTGTCTCATTATTATCAACTGCTAAGTATTTCAGAAAAGAATTTTCATAATTTCCGTCCGAAGCACAATGGCTTAGCTAAAGCTTTTGTAGCCCCTTGTAATGCACATAAAAATAAAAATCTATAAAATGTCAGATTGACATATAGGGGAATAAATAAAACTCTATGTCAGTTCAGTTCTTTAAATAAAACTTCAAATCTAGCATTTAAAAATGCTAGTTTGCTTTTTTTTTTTTTTTTTTTTTTTAAGCAAAATCGTTGACGACATTTTAGAAGTTGTTTTATTACTCCATTTGGTCTTCTTTTCAATTTACAAGGGGATTCAAATACGACCGGGAACTGTGTTGGTACAAACCACTATTCATGCACAGCGCTGTGTGCCCTTGAATGAGTACATGCCATTACATTCTCGTGCAAATTAGACCTTGTTTCAACTGTGTCTGGCAGTCGCGGAAGTGCTGAACAAAAGCAGCTGTCTCGGAGCATGGAACAATGCTTTGTAATCAAATTTCTCGTTTGAGCAAACCTCCAGCCATCTGAAATTTGCAGACTCCAAGCATAGCATGGGGAATAGTATTTCTTTAGGACCCATGCATATGAGTGGTATAAGTGCTTCACTGAGGGACAAGAGCACATGGAGAACATTCGTAACCCTCAAAAACATTAATCGTACGAATGCGGTTATTCATGAGAATAGGCGCATCAGTATCAGGAAAGTTCATCTGTACTTTCAATCAGTGGTGGAAGTGTAGAAATCATCGTAAAAAACATTTGCACCATGGGCAAAATATACTCCCGGTTGATTCCATGGACATTGATAGACGGGAACAAAGTGATGCCCATAAAAACTACCAATGCTTTTCCTACGGCGTTTTGAAGCTGGAGATACATTTTGGACGCCTATAGCGACCGTCAGTGAAACATGGTTCTTTTAGTTCAATCCCGAGACCCAGGAGTCCACTTAGAATCCCACTTAAGAGGTATGTAGTCTGTGTGTAATGAGGCCGTCGCAGTCAGTGTTCGGGAACCGTTTTCATAGAGAACTGAAAAACTTTTATGGAAGAGGCCTGAAAATGCTTCCAGAATATTGGCAACGATGTATCGACTTGGAAAAGAAGTATGTTAAAAAGTAACATGTTCAACTGTATCATTCGCTAAAAGATTTTGTTGAAAAAAATCAGTTCAAAACTCTTCTCATAACAAGCAGTACTTACAACAGCTGTAAGGAAGATTCGAAATAGAATTATAATAGTATTTTGAATTTCATTCTGGTTTTAGAATTCGTTAGTTTTTATTTTAGAATAAACTGTGAAAGTTGAATGTGACTGTCTGATTTTCCACTTCTCGGTTTTGCACTCCCAAGCAGTAACAGGAATAAAACTCCGAAGTATTTATCTTTTATTAAGGAAGGCTTCCTTATCGATATCGTTAAGATCATAATTTAATGCTCATTCGTATTTTCCATTTAAAAGTTTTGGTGGAATAAGGAAGGTATAGCAAGAAAGTGAAGCTATTAAATCTCTTTGAAATTTTTTTGAATACTCTGTCCAGTGTAAAAGCAGTTCTCTCTTCAATTTAGTTTCGTATCACAATTCTACATCTCGTGATTCTTCACTTCACCAATGACTGAATGGAAAAGATGGCTGAAAACTGTTAATTCAACCTGGAGTCAAATCCCAAGCAACAGGCTAGCTGTCTTATGTGTAACGTAGAGTATGTAATGTTATATTCAGGCATGCATAACTTGAATACAAGGCAGTGCCTCTTTCGCAAAGTGAATATGAGCCACCTCCCATTTTTTAAGCCTTGAGGAGAAATTCAATTCTCCACGAAGACATCCCAACCTTCAAGACAGATCATTTGCTGCAATCCAGTCAATCTCAATTAATCTATCTGTTTTGATGATTCATATGACTAAACCCTGTAATATGTTTCACATGGAAAATATTACTCCCAATATATGTCATTTTCGTCGCTTGGCGAGCCACGCTTAGGCAATTGCGTAGCGATTAGTTGAGTGTGTTGATGACCAGAAATAATGAATTATAAATCTAAATCTTAGTAGAATTAAGAATTACTCATCTATTATTCAGATATGCCTTATATGTGGGAATTTATCTGCTCGTCGGGACTTAAATAAACCTTAAGCATATGCGAAAATAGAGGTTATTTATTGTCTTTACACTCGTGTTTATGTTTTTAAATTGCTTTAAATTCGTGCTGCAGGTTTCTGTTAGATGAAATAATCAATTAATGTAGCCTTATTTCAGATTTATTTCCCAGTGTACTTTTATTTGGTATTTCATCTCATATTTACTGTCATTATAAAAGTTCTTATGGTTCCAAACAACAGATTCACGGGAAAAAAAAAAAAGAGAATTGTAAATCTTCAGTCATAATATATACGTCATGAAAGTTTTCAAACTGTTTCAGTAATTCTGCCTTTGTTGAACTAAAATCACATAACGGGCACATCTTCGTACTGCAAATAACTTTTACCATGTCCTGTGAGCTCATGCATACGAAGCAGTTTTTGTTTTGGGAAAAAAAAACTTTCTATACAGTCATCACATATAAATTTACGAACAGTTCTTAATGTAGCAGCTAATTTCCCCAACATGAGACAGAAGCAAGACAAAATTTAGCGGAACAACGTGTCTTTACTCTCCATTATCGAGATACATCGTCAATCATGTACAGAGGACGCCATCTAAGCACTAAACATTTACTAAAGCGAGATGCTTCTGAAGTTTTCTGAGACCCTTCTGTGACTGTGTATCCCAGCGGACAGTTTCAAATGTGGTAGGATTCAACTCCTTATCAGTTGTCCGTTCAAGTAGACCGTAATTCATCCAATATACATTCTTGCTTTTTATGTTGTGCCCTAAGGTGAGTTAATAGTTAATTTAATGAGTAAGTTTAGCCCATCGGACAGGCCACTATCTTGAAACAATAATGCGGTCGTTCTAAAATGGCGGTGGCAATTATTACCATGACGGATCATGGAAAATGGTCTTAAGGCGTTTGACAGGCAGTTCTGCAAACTCATAATAAACTTGATAGCTGAGATAAAACTTAAGAATAAATCATGACAGCCTATTCCTCATTCTTTATTTACTAAATTTTTCTTTGACTCATATAGAAAAGCACATATATCTGTACTAATATAAACTTCTTTATTTCTTACTAAAACATTCAGTTGTAACATTTCATAACGTTTCGATTTTGATAAAAATTTTAATCTTGGAGGAAAATTATTAATTTTCAATTGCACAAAAGCTTTCCACATATATCCACTTTCATGTATCCCAAGAAAGCGATTATTCTTAACGCAAAAACTCGTAACTGAGGGTGTATATTCTTTGGACTAGAAAGGGAAAAAATAATTAAATTTGCATCTTTAAATCTTGGAGTAAGATTTATATCACAGTAAATTCATTAGCTTCAATTATAGATTTTCTGGGGCGTCACTCACATTTGTTTAAATGATAACCAAAAGGTAAAATTAGACTCCAAATCACTCAAATCTTAAACCTTTCTTTCCAGTTCTTGTCATTATAATACTAATTTTTTAAGGAAATGTATTCACGGGGCGTATAAAATTCACGGAAGCAGCCAGTTTGACATAACTGGGTTAGTATATATTTGTTTTGGTTTCTGGAAATTTGAATGTAATAATCGGCTGATTTTATTAATCAGTGAGTTTAATAAGCGAAAGGTACTGTATTCAATTCGTTCTATCATTTTAGCAAAACATTTTATTGTGTCTACTTTCAGATAAAACTAATTCTATAATAAATTGGATAAGCTTATTAAATTTTTAAACTTGTGAAGAATTTAAAAATAATAATATGGAAGGCTGTATTAATCTAGGAATAAAAAATATTACCTCGTAATTCATCTTCTCAGTTCCAGGATTTCCGCCTAACACACCAACGAGACCCAAAAGTTCCTCGTCCTCTGCGCTCATACGCATTATTCCCCCCGGTCCTTTTTCGCACTGATGACTTTTAGCATATTGTGTTCGAACAGATGACTTCCAGCAGTTCCATGTCTGAAAATTTCCCAGCATGTTATAAAATTTTTCAAAATATAGAAATTTAAAATTTAAAGCATGGTAATAAAAATACAGGTAACCTTCCTATAACACGGTAGATAGGTTCCTAGAAAATGCCGTGTTGTACGAGACCCAGAGCCAGTACAAAAAAGGGGATTACGTTCCAAAAACTTACTGTACTGGTTTCATATTAAACTCAAATATTTTTTTGAATTCTACATAAATAACTTTAATTTTTATTAAATATATAAATGTATGTAAAACACAAACTTTGTCATCATTGCTCAACCGAGAACATTTTTTTGGTGGAATAAGATCGCTTTCATTATGAGAATTTTTTCTTCATTTAAAGTTCTGGCACCTTCTTCCCTCTTTAAAAAATCTGTAATTTTACTTTGCTTACTAGTTCTTACCAGGTCATTGTAAATTTCTCGATATGGAGCTAGACAGTTTTTACAGCTTCCTTTTGAATTTTCGACTTCTTTCAGCGGAAGAGTCTGTATTCAAGAAAAATAACTTAAGATTTTCAGCTAAGCTTAGGCCTTCTTTTAATTTTTTTTTCTGGTTAATTATTAACTGTACAATCTTCATCAGTCCTCAGAATCGATTTGATTTACAGCTTCGGATGACATTTCCATCAAATCTGCTTCTTCAATTTCTTCTTCCACTAATAAATCTTGAACGTCCTCAATAGCCATATTCAGAAAACCTTCGCCTCCGATTGACTTAGAAAGTTCTAATATGCCACCAATTTCATTTTCTGAAGATTCACGCACGTGTTATATTTAACTGAACGTTTTATATTTTAACTGTTTTATCTAACTTCTTCCAACACGCATGTAACGTTGATGTTTTCAGTTCTTTCAGCGACAACGATATGATGCCGATACAGTGCTTGATTGAAAATTTCTTCCAAGCCTCCATTATATTAATTGATTTTGAATCGGTTACCCCTAAAATCCACTGGAATGCTCTTCTTATGTAATACGTTTTAAAGGTATAAATAATACCTTAATCCAATGTTTGGAGTAATGAAGTAGTGTTAGGTGGTAAGAACAGTATTTTAACATTGGGATGATTCAAATCTTGTGGGTGACATGAAGCATTACCTAATAGAAATAGCGCCTTGAAGCTCAAATTTTTATGCCTTAAATAACGTTCAATGTCTGGTCCAAATAATTTAAAAGGCAGTTTTTAAATAAATTTCCAGTTACCCAAGCTCTTGGATTTGCTATCCAATATACCGACAAGGTGTTTTTATTTACGCCTTTAAGTGCACGAGGATTTAAAGATCTGTAAACTAACAAGGGTTTTCTGATAAAACCCTTGTTACTGACGACGCGTTACTGAAGAAAAGTAGTGTTAGACGATCTTTAGACAACACGGCATCTTTAGACACCTTAAATCCGGGTACAGTTTTTTCTTTTTTCGATAAAAAGGTTCTACTGGGAGTTTTTTTCCTAGCACAGTCCAGTTTGTTTCCCTCTTGCCGAACGGCAACAAATTGCTTTTGTACATGAGTTTGTTAATCAAAACGTTATTTTAAATTCGCACAAAACCTAAAATAAATACTACTAATAATAATAAATTCAAAATCCAGACTTCGAAATGCACACATTCAGGTTCCGGTTTTTAAATTTAGTGGCTGCAGGAGCCGTCGTTTTTCCATTATGCGAAGAACACACATGCATATATACAGATTCTTCATTATTTAATAACAGAGATGAAAGTTAAAAAAAATAAATAAATAAATAAAAGAAACTCTTGAAAAAATATCAACAAATAATTTTAAGTAATCCGCTTAAGTATTCTTAGATATTCATAAATTATTTTAAGTATTGATTTGTATGTTAATGCTAGAGTTAAGCATTCTCGTGTTTTGACAGTTTCTTTTCTTTTCTTTTTTTTTTTTTCTTTTTGTGTGTGTGTGTTTCAAACATTTTGCGGAACTTCTTTTTTCCTTTCATTTTGCATTGCTATTAATTTTTATTTATTTATTTGTATAAATTTCATGTATAATTTTGTAAAGAACAGAATAAAGAGATAAAAATGCAAATTGAAAAACTCTAATTTGATTTTGTGTATAATACTGTTTTCACTACAGTAATCGAAGGTGTTCCAGCACTTTGCAGAGACACTCATTTTCTTCATCTACGCCGATTAGGCGTAAAAATTTAAAAAAAAAAAAAAAAAATATGTCATAAAATTATTTTCCACCTCCAGCCAACCTATGGACATAGGTAAGGGATGTAATGTTTTTGGTCCAAATATGCAATAGTGAATTTTCAGTGAACAAATATGAATTAAGGTTCCATAACACGTTTTGACTAATTTTATTCTCATGTCTGTCTGTGTACATGTGTGTGACGGTTTTTTCTTCCGCTAAAACTCTTACATTAAACTTCCAAAAATGTCTGTTTTCCGTATTTATTTATTTATTTATTATTTTTTTTTTACTATGGCATTCGTTTCAAAGTATTTATTTTAAATATATTACAAACACTTTATATTAACTAAAAATCAATTAAGCGACATATTATTCAACTTCAAAATAACCTAAATTTTTTAATAAAAAGAAATAATGGGGAAACATTTTATATGCCGATATAAATTTTAAAAAAACAATTTTTTACACATGGCCAGTTATACCTAATAAAAGAACCCTAACTTTTGCATTACAGACTTTTCTATAAATAGAATGGAACAACCAAACATATTTATTTTATGAACGATCCGATAGGAAGTAATATTTTACTTATTAGGCTCGCTTTTTCTTTTATTAGGCTCGCTGTTATTTAAACCACGGAATTTGATCACACGAAATTTTGTGTACCTTATTTGCATCAAATTTAACATTGCTAGGCACCCACCAGTGGCCCAACGGTTAAAACCGCTGAATACTGGTTATTCGACGTGGTTTGGTTTTAGCCCAGGCAAACGGGCCAGCTGCATGGTTGTTTTTTCCATATGTGACGTAGTTGGTTTGGTTTATGTGATTGCGGCAAAGCGTCGAGGGTTGTCTGCCTAAGGGAGGCTGGCTAATATACAGGTTATACACGGGGAAAAGCACGAAAAGTTCAGCCAGTTTCTCTAAGAATCTCCACGGAAACATCTCTTCTCTTTGCCTATTCATATAACCTAACCTGGTATTGCAAGAAACTGAGAAGATAACTAATGTCTTGCAATCATTAACTGTACATAAAGCTGCACTCTTAAAACAGCAATTAAGTGTTCGAATCTCGATGAAGCATAAGTTTGTATAGTTATTCGCAAGTGTGTCGTAAGTAGAAGGTAAATAGCCTCGCTGTGATTGCCCCCCTATGAATTAAGTAAGCAAACAAATATAATAAAAGGATTATCTCTTCCTACTTAAAATATAAAATTCACGATATATCTGGACACTAAGCAGCTAAAAGTTTACAGCTTTAAAAGATAAATCACGAATATAGTTTAGTTCAATCATATCGGAATTTGAAAACTGACGTTAAGAATATTTTAACATTGTCAGTTATTGTTGCTAGTAGTAAGACAAAATTCAACAAATTTAAAATAATAATAATAAAAAAATATCCACCATCTTTCACTTCACTCCGTTTAAAATATGAATTAAGTAATGAAGTAGAATTTGAATATATCCTGGTTCGAATTCCAAATTCCATTCCGAGTACGAAGAAGTAACAAACTTGCATCTCTTAAGATCCAGCAAATATGTAAGTTAATTAATTCATCTTCTGGCTTTAATGTCTATTATGTAAATTACTTCTTCATACATTTTTAATATTTCCTTTTAATTTTATGTGAATATCTTTTTATTCACCTTTTATTCTTTGTTTAATTGTTTTTACAAATATTGCATTGTATAAATTATTTTTACAAGGTTTGCATTGAGTTAATATGATTAAAGGCGAAAGTGTCGGGGACAATTTTCTCAAGTAGCAAGTAAAACTCACTCTGATAAGAATATATCCCGATTTTAAGATTGACTTTAAAACTTGACCGTACAGCCAATTTATTACCGAATTCTAATTAGCAATTTAATTTAAACTCATCTCACTTCAACTCAACTCTACTTAACTTACACTCATTTTACTAAGAAGCTTTTTTGTCACAATTCTTACTTGAGAAAAAGACGAAATACTTTCGCATTTATTAATTAATGTTAACTAATCAGAAGTTAGTATGGTCTCCTTGAAAAGTTAGCTAATTTCCAGTCATTAAGTAATGACGATAATTACTTAGTGTATTGATTGCATTTTCACTTTTAAATAAACCTTTTTAATGTTTCCATTTTAAATTTATTCAAGATTCAATTTTTAAATATGCTTATCAGTTACATAATTTCAATAGAATTCTAATTACGTTTGTCAAAGTAGATAATATACTACATAATCTATTAGAAAATAAATTATACACACACACCATATATATATATATAAAGACAGAGATGTTTTCATTGTTAAAGGCAAGAAAAATCAAGTTATAAAAAAATTTGAATAAATTACGCGAAAACGCTTTAACGTCAATTATCCTACTTGTTATGCTACTTAAGTATTATAGTATTATTTGCTATTTACCAAATCGGTATTTTTAAAACTTTTTTTTTATTTAAAAACTAAGTCAATTGTAAAACATTTCATTCAAAAAATACAAATCATTGCATCCTTTTCTGAATTTATAAATGTACGATTATAAATATTATAAGAATTAGAGTATTATAATTTAAAATAATTACCATCGAGAAATATAAAAATGTACATATATAGTTAATTCGGCTTTACGCAGGGGCGCGAATCAGCTCATTGCCTCTGTTGAAAACATATCTAAGCACGGCTCTCATAATAATACTTTCATATAAAAATTCAATTGTTTTACAAATATGCTGTACTTACTTTACGCCATTCGTGTGGACTTTTCACAGCACCTAGACCATCAGAATTTAATAAGGTCGTGACCCTGTCCCAGAGTTTGTTCTTCTTTTCTAAAGTAAAATTATCATCAGTTTTTATTCTCTGAAAGTCAGGATTTTCTTCAGCAAATTTCAGAAGAAGTTGTTTTTGCTTAATTGTTAGGCGAGCTGCACGCTTCTTCGGTTTCCTTTCCATGACAAAGCAAAATTGTCACAAAAATAATATGGAAAGCGACTTTTGAATTCAACTACCAACTAAAAAAATATCTCGCCTAATTGCTTCTTCTCCCGCCTTGCAATGATATCATCTGAATTAACAAACTAACGAACGAAGCCCTCGGTATAAGAACAAGGAACGTGAAGAATACGGGTTTAAGCACCAGTCACCGTACAGCTGCTCCTTCCTTCCTCCACGGTTACTGGCGTCGTTAAATTTAGGAACCGCTCCTTAAGTAAAGATCGTTATGCGTGTGTTGTTAAATTTCGTCGCCAAAGTCGGGACATAATGGAGATTTCTCGCAAATATGGCGCGTTTTGGAAGCTTCTAAAAAGTATTTTTTAGACACACAAGGACTTACTTTCTAGAAAGTTTGGCCTCTCTTTTTTCAGCTGTCGTGTAAATACGAAGTTGCGAACACCGGATGAATCAGCTGACAGTCTGCAGACGAAAGTAATTTTACCTTTCAATTACTGTGAGATTTTGTAATTCACTTTATTCGCAGTGTTACAAATGTTCCTGACATCTGTCTAATGGCTATGTTATTAAATGAAATGCATTGTAAATTTATGTTATTAAAAACTGCAATTATTATTAAATGCGTGTGTTATCAGTGCAATAAAGGAAAACATTTAAAAAACTATATTTTTCTTATTAGCAAATCAGATCAAGTACCGTTGTTTTTTCACATTGCGAGAAACATACATACATTCATGCAGATTCTTCATTATTTAATACCTTAATACATGGCGATAATATTTGGTGGCATCAATTTGAAAAGTGATTCAACGTTTTCAGTGATTCTACGTAAAATGCTGTTTCGAGACCAATAGCCCTTCTGAGTTAACTCCCCTTTGCGCTAAAAATTACGAAATTAAGAAATTTTTATCTGTTCCTCCGGATTCTATATTCTTATTCTTAGTTATGAAAATTTTATACTCATTATAAAACTCAAAAGTTTGATCTCTATACGATAAAAATTGATGGAGATATTTAGTTTCAAGATTTGCGATTTTTAATGTGATACTCAGTTTGCATTAACAGATCGGCTGATAAATAAATCGCAATAATTCGAGGACGATTTTTTTCCCTCTTAAACGCATGCATTGATATTGTTTTACGATTACTACACATTTAATTTATAGTTTTTTTTTTTTTTTTTTTTTTTTTTTACATTTCGTACGCCGAAAGAGTTTTCTCACCAGTAAGTTATTAGATTTCGAAGTTTAAAAATACATTGTTTATATTCTCGTGAAGTTTTATTCCTTTAGAATCATAATTTAGTGATCTCACAAAAAAATTCATGAAACTAGAAGTATTGTTAAACTTCAATTTATGCAAAAACTTTATGAGTTGAACGTATGACAATAGTTGAGACTGCTAATGTTTCCCGGTACAAGAATTCTATAAAATTTCGGGAACAAGATGTCTTGTTTGAAAAAAATTATATTGATAAACACGTTTCACATATATCTGCATAGAAATGTTCCTCACTTAATCTCTTAACTTGAGAAACCTTTCCTAAACTGAATTTTACATTTTATTACGTAAACATGCACATATTTCGCTCTTCCAATGTATACGAAGCGTAAATAAAATCCTCGATTTTAATACCAAATATATTGAGTAGTTTTTATCGTACGTGAGTCACATGAGTTTGTGTTTAATTTCGTATAATCAGTATAAAATTTTCCGATATATGAGTCTAGAGACCCACGAAGCGTTCATTTGAAACATTTTTGTAATTAGGTGTATACGTGTGCAACTAACGGCTGCGAAAATAAAGGATGAGTAAGGCATTTTGCAGATTCGTTGCATCATGTTTTTGTTAGTTTCTCGATATGAACGGAGGGTCGCAGAAAGATGAGTCAAGGCACTGAGTCTCGCATGCTTAGCTAGGGTCACCAAATGCAAAAGTGAAAAAGGAGGACATTTATTTTGAAAGAGGGAAATTTTAAAATAAAAATAAAGCTTAATTACCTCAGAAAAAAATAACTTCATTAAAATAATTTTTAGAACATACCACTAATGCCAATTAGACCTTTCGACTATTTTTCAGAGCTACCTATTTCTGACAGAAGTTTTTAATTATAGACATCCGAGCATGCTGAACTCTTAAAGTTGTATTGTATAAGTATTATCGTCTTCTTACTCCACTTTATTCCGTTCCTTGGTCCATTGAGAGTTTATCAGCGTAAACCAATCCCTCCCCCAATGTTTGCGAAAAGCAACGGGACTCACGGACTTAATTTCTTTATCTTTAGGGTCCCACCAGCGGCCGAGCGGTAAAGTCGCTGAACACTGGTAGTTCGATCCAAGGTACGAATCCCGCGAACGGGTTGGCTGCTTGGGCGTTTTCGTGGTTTTCCCAATGTGTAACGTGTATACGAGCCAGTTTGCCTTAGAAAGTCCTCCACGAAGGCATCCCCTCCCCTTAGGCAGATAGCCCTCGAGGCTTTGCCATAATCATACACACACCTTATCTTCAGATTTGAAGAATAGCGTCACGCTGCAAAATTGATGTTACAGTTTCATGTCCGATGCTACCGATGATAGCACCTCTTTGTTGTATAAGAATTTAATGCAAAGAATCAAATCTTTAGATTTATACTTATTGTACTTTTTGAGTAGTATCCATTCAAAATACTTAAACTCATACAGTTATCGAGCTATTTTGTCAGATATTCAAGAGATGCTTTATAAACACACTGAAAGTCGAAAGTACTTTTATACAGCACGAACATTTTTTTTTAAAAAGAAGATATTTTCATATATATGTAGGATATTGTATTTTAATTTAAAAAGGATTTCTTGTAACCCTAAGCCTAGCACAGAGTTTTCACAGCAACGTAAAAGCGAAAAATCGTAAGCTGAACCGTCATAAGTCGGGAATCCCCAACGTCGATGAGAACTAGTAAGATTAAGTTTTATTATTAAGACTGTACTCACATCTGCCGGTCAAATTTGATTTTAGAAAAAAAAATAAAGTAAGAACGTTCAAAGGTAATTGGCATTATTTTCACCCCCTCCTCCCTAAAGGGGAAAGCACTCCCAAAAGGGCGAGTGCTAGAAGCATTTCGGGGCGGTGAGGAGTGAACCCTTTACTTAGCAGCAGAGAATTAATAAAATGCTTCGTATAATTTAATTTAATCCTTCTGCTACAGCACACAGACATGGAAACTCGTTTTCCGTAACACTAATTGCACAAAGAGCTTCGATATCAGTCACCGCTAAGAGATAATCAATCGGACGGCGTGATAATCTTCGTAAGCTGAAAATAATTGCGGCTGATTTTCCTGTTAACGAAAATCTAATTTGAACAATTATCGCGCGTCTAAATAATAGCACGGAGAGTTATTTTGTCTCCATTATTGCAAAATTTATCGGAAGGGATCATGAAAGATTGTTTACTCTAATTAGGCAGGCCTGCAAGCAGTTTGTAATATAAATACGTGGGAATAACTTTATTTTGAATATTTATTTCGGAGCTGGTACATTTCCTCCCCTTCCTCTACTGCCAAAGAATATACAGGAAACGGATAAATTCATTTTCATTATTCATTATATAAAACTGGATAAAATTAAGCCATAAGTTGGCATTTATAGAAAAGCTATGTGCATTTCGAAAGCACGTGACATAGATCCCTCTTCGGCGAGGAATAAATACATTCTGCTCCCATAAATAACGTAAATGAACAAAATTAATTAAAATAAATAAATAAAAGATAAAAATCTGAAAGGTCTCAGATTTTAAATTACGTCCAAAGGGGCGTTTTGTTAACATTTTGTCTGTTACCTTTATTTATTAAATATCTCGTTCTTCGCACTTAAACGATAAACTTAAGTACAAGAGCAATATCACAAAATAGTTTTAAATTGAGCAAATCCCTTTCGAATTTCCGATACAGGGTCTCGGGCGCTGGTGATAAAAATGTTTTTTCTGTACAACGTTGCCATTACTTCAGTTGAAATCCTTGAGTTTGTTCATCAAAAATTCATTAAAGTTTTACAAAATATGAAATCGATAATAAAACAAATTACAAATTTCAAATTTGGGCTTCTACATGCCCGTATTCGCAGTAGGATTATGTCATTCAAAATTCGATGGCTCTATGTACCGTTGTTTGATCAAAATGCGAGAAATATACAAAAGTGAAACGGACATTTATAGTGAACCAACGCAAAATCGCAAAACGAAAACAATAGTCCTTCAGGGACAAAGCCCCTTTGGACTAAAAAGTCTAAAATGGGATAATATTTTAATTGTTAAAGTTTAACATGGTTTGTCAGTAGAGATTAGCAGTATACATGGCGCATATTGGATATCGAAAGATTTTATAAGATACTAGACGAATATACATTTAGAATAAAATGGGATCCATTCTATAACTTCTTTATATTTGAAAAGTGAAAAAATATGTAACGTCATTCTATAAAAGTATTGTTACAAGTTTAATGCATTTTTATTGAAATCAAACCTATTCAAAAGTCAAAAAACAATATTCTTAAAATCTGCATTTATTGCTTTCAAATAGCTTAGGTTGTTAATCCATAACACGCAGATTCAGACTGAAAAATAAATAAATATCTTCCATGGCCGTGTAGCGGACGTGCTTCCAAAATAACCACGAAGGGACGTGAGAGGAGGGAGAATATTCTTTGCATTATCCCCCCCCCACACACACACACTCAAAGGACGAGTGGGAAGGAGCGAACCCAGTCGTGAAACTCAAGTGGTGACAAATTATGATCCAACACATTTTAGCTCGGACGCCACTTAAGAGTCATTTAGAATTTCTTTTGAAGCCGGAAAACGTAAAACGTAAGTAATTAAGAATGCCCTTTTTGGGATTCGAACTCCAAATCTCCCGCTTGTTAGTCCAACTTGCTTCCAATTACACTACGAAAGCACACAGTAAAGAGAGAGAAACTACCTTAAACACTTGTTACTGGTATGCCCCGAAAACAAATAGATTGTAATGTATCATTACTTTCTCCTAATTTTTCTTTGTATATCATAGTAAAGTATTGTGTTTAACTAGGTATCTCGCTTTCATTCTAGCTAGGAGAAAAAGTGAATTCAAATTTATATTTTATTTCTGTACTTTTATTTCTTAAAATTTATCCTAAAATGTAACGAGGATCTTATTTTCGAGTAAATACGGTATCTAAAGGTATACGGTAT